GATATGTAAAAATAGAAGGATACGTGAAAATAATTTCACCAAGCTATTGATCCAACCGGGCTCTGATACCCACTGTTAGAAATTGGAATAAATATCTTAGGATTTGTGAGGGTAATTAATATATATGGATTAAATGGAATTGGAATGTTTAACAAGATAGGTAATAGAATTTGTATAGTGCGAGGAATGATTTTCAATGGAAAGCACTTTTATTTCTATTTGGTTTGTTACACTCAAATTTATCCACCAATGCCCTATTTATAGAACAAATATGTCGGTGGAGATTAAGATATTTTTACTTAATTGTCTAGATTCCTCCACCGACTTAAGCTAGATTTTTTTACATAATTTTCTAGATTTTTTTTTACGCTATCATCATTGCTAGATTAGTGCATAATGTTCTAGATTTTTCTAGCTTTTGAGCATCAATTTTTAACAGGATGTTATATCATTACGAAAAATGCTACAGTCCTGTAACAAAACCATCCCCCTATATACAACTCTAATAAAAGACTGCCACATCCTTTTTGACTATATCTAATGGTTCATATCAAAACTAAAATATCTAGTGTTACATTGATTTGAGGAAATCATTCATTCACGGGACTGTAGCATTTTCCTATCATTACACCCCTGTGTCATAAGTAATTAATTTTAATGGCTAAAATAGTTTATTGGTCATTTATTTGACTCCAATTTTAGATTTGGTCCCGTAATGTGTTCTATTTTAGTTTTTTTTCATTTTGAAAAAAAAAAAATATCACATCATTTCATTCAATTGATGCCTGGTTTGACCAATGTATTATAAATAAAATAAAATAACATAATTATATCTATCTATGCAAAATAATTATATATATATATATAATTATATATATGTATATGTATCATTAATAATTTAGATAATAAAATGAACTTAAAAGTATCTTATAAAATAAATTATAAATTAATTAATTTTATTAAGTATAAATAACATACGATAAACTTAAAGGTTTTCTTACATTAATTGAAATATTCATACTAAGAAAAAAGTACAAAATGAATGTAAACTTACATCTATTATCAACATTAGCTATATGAATTAAAATGAAAAATAAATGAGTTGTATGTTAAACTATTATTCAATTACTGCTTGAAAGGGAACACGATAATGGTTGTAACATATATTTTCAAGGAATATGAAAAAGAGTTAGTTACTTAATAATTTATCAAACAATGAAAAAAAATCCTAAGCTATTTAAATCTTATAAACAGTTAAAAGTATATTTTTATCAAATATATTATTGTTTAAGTAAATAAATAAGTAACATAAAATAGTATTTATCTTGTGTAATTATATTAGTTGTAGTATAATAAATTATTTTGATAACGACGTCATTATATAAAATACATACAAAAAATGATGCAATACGTATAAATGTGCTCTAATTTTTTTGATAAATAAAATATTATTTGTGAAAAGAATAATAAACAAATAAAACAATAGTAATACAATGCGGAAAAGAAAACGTCTAAATTTTTTTAGAGAAATATGAATATCAATATTTAGAAACAAAAGTCTTTTAAAATTAATTCTTTTTTTATTTTGTTGCTAGAGTTTAATATATGGACTCTGTAAAAAATTGGTTCTAAGAAATAATCACCCTATATTATCAATTTTAAATTTTTAATAATTAAAAATAAAAACTTTTTAATACATAATGTAGATTTTAATACTTCGTAATAATAAAATTCATAGAAGCCTAAGAGTATCATAATATAACAGAATTCTAATTTTTCTCCTCTCATGCAAATGATATGTTTCTAAATATTTGAAGATGAAATTCATTTGCACCCCCGCAGGGCGATGCCTCCATGGGGTAGGTATCAATTTTTCTATATGGAGAGAGAGTAATAAAGTAGTTTGTACAACGATACAAAAATATCATCAATTTTAATGACATCCCTCCCTATATATTTATTCAAAATGTGTTGAGCCTAAGTGACATACTCACACACTTCGAATGCTGACATGGCAAAAATCTATGCTTTGGTATTAGATATAAATTAGGCTTGGTATTAGATATAAATTCGGTATTCATTTTTGTTCTGAAATTAGGCTTGGTATTAGATATAAATAACTTTTTCCAAACATGGTAAGTTTTCATTTAGTTTTGTTTTTTTTTTCTCTTAGTAAAAATTTCCTTCTTAGTTTGGACAAATAACAATCTTACCATTTTATAATTTTCTACTATATTCTCTCCCAAATTACGATTTACAAATCACATTATGCACTTTCTATTTCTTTTTTTTTTTCATCAATTAGTCCATCAAAATTTTAAATAAAAGTTTTATTTTAGCAATAACTTTTATCATATATTTCTTAACTCAACACCCGTGTAGTACACGGGTATTGTACTAGTAGTTGGTTATTTCACATAGACATTCATGAAATGTTTGTAGAATACCTTATGAAGATCATACAATCATTAAGTTTGACTATATGTTTGACCATAATATTTCTAAGTGTTTGAATAAATTAGACGTTTTGCCAAATAAATTAAGAAAAAAAATTGCAATACTATTGATGTATTGGGTTCCAACAGGTATGAATGTTTCTAATGAGAACGTCAAAACTAAAATAAAAGAAATAACTATTAAATCATCTAACATAAATAAATAAAAGAACTAATGCATTTATAATATACATTAGGTCCGTATTTGGTTATTTTGTGTTTTTTGTATAAGAGTCTCATTTTTCATATATTTTTGTTGGGGTTGTTATATGTTATTTCATTATTTTTATATTAGAACATCATTATATTATTTAAAAAAAAATACATTAGGGACTCGTTTCTTTTGCATTTTATTTCACTCCTACAACATTATGTTTAATAAATTAATTAACTTATTTTACTAAATTTAATTGGCCAAAAACATTCACCACTACGTGCATCGCACGTGCACTTTACTAGTATCACAAAGCGTAACAACACTAAATATTATTATGTACGTATAATAATTCATATTATAACTCTTGCATCACACTCCCATAGTACTTACTGGTTACTTGGATTATCGTATTTTGTAATATTAGGTAATTAATTTTGAATAATATATTATTATAGATAAAATAATTTAGTGCAAAATCTAGAATGATATTGTTGGAGATTAGATATTAAAGTTTGGAGATAATTGTATTTCTTGATCCACAATTTCTCTCCCCAGAAACCCTCGCCGCTGCTCGTCTAAAATCCGTCAATCGCACGCCTTCCCCGGCGATTAGTCGGCTCTTTCACCGGCGGATGGCCTTCAGCTGCGTCTTCCCACCCTAATTTCTCGCTCGCCAGTGCTGCTGCGCCGATGGAGTTTTTCCCAAGCCATCGGCAGGTCTCGCCACTTTCTTCCTGCAGGTCGTAGTTCCGTTTTCTGGTTTCCCGTGTAGTGGCTATGGTGGCTGGCCGTCTATTGGCTTCTGCTCTGCTCGGTCTCCGGTGGGAGCTTGTGCGCTGCGCTCCAGGTTAGTGGTAGGTTGCTTCAAGGAGGTGAGTGGTTGTGGTTGGGGTTGGGTGCGACCTTGGTGGCTCGGCTTGTATGAGTCGCGTCGGCAGGGGTTGAGGTGGGTTGGTTCGTTCCCCTGTGTCCACTTTGCTGGTTTTGTGGAGTTGGATGCCTGACAGGCCCGGATTCTGACCAATGGTGTTTGGTCGAGTCGCGGGAAGCGGGTCTGTGTGGTGGGGCTGATCGATTCTTCTCGGGCTGTGGGTCGGCTTCATCCGTGGAGTGGTTCGAGGCTTGGGACTCTTCCTTCCTAGGCTTTAGGCAGTGGCGAGAGTGGTGTTCCGGGTTTCGTGTCAAGCTATAGGGTGATTGGTCTTGATTTCGCTATAGGGTGATTGGTCTTGATTTCGCTGGTGCCTTGTGTGAGGATCAGTTATCTCGTTGGGGAAAGGCTTTGTGTGCCTTCATTTTAGGTTTTTTATTTTTCATTTTGGTTGTTCTTTGTGATCTTGTCTTGTGTTTAGGTCTGTGTTTTTTGTTTGGGCCATTTGGCCTCTGTACGCCCGGATGTCAAATTTATTATCTCATTGGGATCCGACACTCGGATATTACTCTGTTGGGGTCTTGTTTAGTTTTGTTTGTGCAGTTGGTTTAGTGTGAGTATTACCCTGTTGGGGTCGGCTCTAGGCGATCTCTGGATCTGCCTCTCAGTTTTCTAGTCTTTGGTTGTAATATTCAGCCTTTGGCTGCTTTCTTTTTGCACTTTGTGCGGTTTTTATTAATATAGTACCTCTGTCGTTTCGGAAAAAAAAAAAAAAAAAAAAAAAAAAAA